GCGGCCCGGATGAGTTCTGGCGCAAAAGGCGTATTTTCAAACTCGCTGCGGTAAGTACAAAACAGAAGCTCATGAATTATTTGACCGGTAATTAAATTGTTTCAGCATTATCGCAGCCGTACGCGTAATGTTATTCTTTTGCCATACGCAGCGTTCATCGTGCACTCGCATACGCCACCAAGGGCCGCAAGCTCAAGAAACTGGAATGGCTCAGCTGTGGACAACCCGCGTTGAAGCCGGCTGCCAGCAGTATGGAGTCGCCTTGGACACATTCAAGGAGGGCCTCGCACGCTCTGATTTTGCTGAACAAGTTAGTTGGCGGCATATACACTTAATGGCTGTATATTAACAGATTTTCTTTATAGAAAAAATGCTCTCCGATTTGGCTATTTGGGAGCCACGCTCGTTTGAAGCTTTGGTAAACATTTCCAGAGAACGGGCTGCTGTGGAGGGTCTGCCGGACATTAAGCGAAGGTCGGCCTTCAATCAGGTGTATGGGCTGAGTAATCTAAAGCTCGATTAGGCTAAGTGTTTGCATACAAATATGTTTTATATATTAACTGAAGATTCATGTTTTATTTTTGTGTCATGCAATCAAAAACATTGCACTAAACGTTTTATGTAGGGGGTTACGCACTAATAGAAAACAGAATTCATAGAATTATTGGTAGCCATTTATTCTAATTTGGCCAAGATATCCGACTCGCGGAAAAGGAACAGCTCTTTCTTTTCATCACTATCCAATTGGACCTTGGTACCGCCAAATTCAGGCAGCAGAACGCGATCGCCCTCCTTTACACCAATTGGAATATGACTGCCAGTTGTCTAGAAATGAAAATAGATTCAATCAATATTATGTGACTAGTTTAATAGAATGTTGTAATTGCCGCGCGCAATTATGAAATACTTACAGCATTGCGAGTTCCGGGTCCCACCGCCACAACAGTGCCTTCCAGCACTTTACCCACCGATTTTCTGGCAAGACAATGCCACCTTTCGTTTTGGTAAGGGCTTCAGCGCGTTGCACCAAAATGCGGTCAAGCATGGGGATGATCTTCTTAATAGCGGCAGCCTATATACAATTGCGAATCATTCGATTTTAATAAGCAATTTACTGTCATTAATTTCATATTATATTCCCCCCCGCCTATGGGCTAGGGCAGAGTTACACAACAGCCCGGCACGGTGAGTATCAGCGTATGCAGAAACTTCGAGAAGCTCAAGTGAAATTCTTTGAACGCCACATGCGACTTAAGGGTTTTTAAATAACTCAATACTGTACTTACCATTTTATGTAATTAAATGCAAACTGGAGCGCTTCGAACAGCTAAATCTTAATTAATAAATGAAAGTGAAGTCTCACTACACGTGCGGGCCGGTCGCAGTTGTTCGTAATAGTGATGCACAACCATCGACAATTGGTATCGATGCTATTCTCTATATACGATGTATCGTACTATCGGAAAAGCATTTACTCGACGTTTTGAAAAGAAACCCGTTGACATTTAGACACATAGAAGGAGGAATGCAATAAACTTTTACGAGTTGAATAGAATTCATACACTGGTCACAAAGTAAGATAAGCATATTGGCACTGTCCATGCACGCGAACGTTATTCGTTGATGAACTAGGACTCCAAATGTATTAGTATTAACGTTTTTTTTTCTTGGTGTCGGCCTGCAAAAAAAAATCGACTTTGGACGAGTTGTCTATTATTTTTATTTTATTTATAAAAATATGAATTTTAACGTGCAATTGTACTGGATGTCATATCTATATGTTGTATGGTTAGTGATTTAAACACAGGAACCCCCGAAAAAGAGATTATTTTGAAAGCTTTAAAGTAACTGTTTTGTGTTGCAGTCGGAAAGCCATTAAAACAATAATTAAAGAAAACATTACAGAGCAGAGTATTACGATGTCGAATGCACCAGAATGCAACGATACAACAAAGAAATGGAGTACAATGTATAAGATTGTAAGGGAATTGAAATGCAAAAAGGAGACGTAAGGAATGTGTTCAGCATGCGCGTTTCATTTCAACATTAATATTAAGGAATTGCAGTTAGTCCACTGATGTTGATATTTTGTAGTATGGATCTATGCATTCGAAGCCAGTTTTGCTACCAGGTCTCATGTTCAGTGCCACCTCGTCCGATTTCTTTTGCTTGTTAAACTCGCAGCTGAATTTTTCCGACATTTGTTGCAAATCGCTACAATATTTCCGTAGATAGCGTATCGTGTAACTTATGTTGTAATATGGCAAGTTTTCCCAGGTATTGGATCTGACCTCTGGATAAAGGGCGTGCGGTGAAGTTACGCAGCGATTCGCTGGCCTGCAGTAATAGTAAGATCATTTCAGAGCTATGCAGAGAATATGGGCTTTCTTACACTAGTTATCTCGTCGCAGGTCAGCTCGGACAGCGGTAGCTCGAAAATTAACGAAATGGCGTCCTGCAACGTGCAATTACAACGATCCTGTCGAGCTACGCACAACGCGACGAACGTGTCGCAAATTCCATTTATTCTTAGCTTGTGCTGATGGAACAGCAAATCACATATTCGATGGCTGTAGTGCATTATCTTTCTAGGATACTCCGCCTCCAGCAGCACAGATAGTTCCCGGAAAATGACTCCCAGCGCTTTCAGATCAAACACATACGTATTATTCGCGGTGGCAATAACCATGACGGATGTTATGCAATGCCGCCCATAGAAACTTGGCTCCACCAGCACCGAGATGATGGCTTGGTCGCGTATGTCGCTCAACGCCCTATGGTATGACTGATCCGTTTGCTGAATAACCACAATGCGCTTAAGTTTCTGCTGCAGGGAAACAGTTCGTGTGGCAAAAGGGGCGCACTTTTTATAGATTTTCTCTCCAAGCGGCAGCTGTAGCAAAAGACTCTACGCTGTCATTGTCGCTGTTGTCGATGTCCTCAAAATTGCTATTGTCATCGCTCATTTTCTTATTTTATTTATTTTTTTTTACTGTGTTTTAAGTAAAGCTGCATAAATAAAAAAAAAATTTATTTACAATACGAGCAGCAGAGAGATGACACACATCAAAAGTCCTTACATGGTGGCAACTCTTCAAAATAATCACCAGCTCAATTGTAAACAAACACTAATGTAAATTTGTAATAATCTGCTCAGCGTTGCCACAAATCTCAGGCTAAGGAGTGTAATTGTTGTTATGCGTATCTTCACATATATTGTAGGAAAACGCGTTTTTCTTTTACCACATACGTCTATACCAGACAACATTAAGGTAAACGCGTGTGTCTAGTGCAGTAATTGGTTTATAATTGACATTAAACTCTGTTATAATTGCTGCGCAAATAACCTGAGCACTTTTACAGCTAGCGGTCGATCGCTTTGCGAATCAGAATGCAAAGAAAAATAACTGAACCATAGTCAATACAAAACACTGGCAACCTGCGCACATTTATAGTGTTTGTGAATTATTACGATTAGCGGTAAAACACACAAGCAAAAAGTCAAAAGCATATGAGAAAGTAAACGGGAGGGAGATTGCGAAGCTAGAATTAGTGATGAGAAAACAAACTTATGTTAAGTTCACATTGACAGCGATTTTCGATAAGCATACACTATTTACATATGTTCATATATGTACATATATGTACATATGTGTCGTATAGGTGAAAACTTGTGCATTGTTGATACGAGTACATATGCATGTATGTCATTCTGATGTGGATGTACATATGCACATATTTAAATGATCGAATTATCGCATGTGCCTTCATGTACATACGAGTACATATTTATGACATTATATGTATGTACATATATGTATAACATAGAATTATAGCATGTGCAATCATGTACATATGAACATACATGGCTGTGACAAAATGTTGGCCAATTCGATGCTTAAGCAAGAAAGCTTTCTCAATCAGGCCAATGGCCTAGAGCATTGCAATACGGCCAATTGACGATCTCGTCGAGGACTCATATAGATTTTGCAATATGAATTTAATTTTTCGAATTTACTAATTGCAATTGACTTTGGACTACAATCGACCAGCAAAAGCGACGGCCAGCCTTGCCATCGCCCAAATGGGTCCATCAAGCTATCATCTGGGATGATACTCAGAAGTTTAAATGCCATGGGCAGCCAGACGGCAATCGGACGACAGCCACATGCCAGCTGTGTGTGTTGCTATGTTCCTGATGCGGATTTAATTCGGCTGCCCGTTATGTCTTAACCATGGCCAATTGTGCAATTGTCAAATGATCTGTTGATGTTATTTTCTTTAATCTTATTTAAGGCCACGAAAAGATTTTTAATTCTGAGACATTCGGCTTGTTGTACCCTTTATATGGGCATTTCTAGCAAAACGTAAAACAGATAAACGTTTCCTTTTTATCAATTTCATAGCCTTAGAGGGGGATATAATTTGGTTATTAATGTGTAACGCTTAAAAAGACATCTTCGACTCCACAAATTAGATATATTTTAGGTCAGCATTAAAAGCCAAGTTCATATTGCCATGTCCGCGTTTCCGTCTGTCTACAGTAGGTTTACAGTCTATCCACAGTCTGTCTACGTCTGTCTACAGTCTGCCTACAGTCTGTCTACAGTCTGTCTACAGTCTGCCTACAGTCTGACTAGAGTCTGTCTACAGTCTTGAAACTGCATGGGTCCGTCTTTCTGTTGGTCATATGCATGTCTGAACCAGCCGGATCGGATCATAATATAATATAGCTGCCATAGCCGGTCAAAAGTAGGTTCTTATATAGCAACATATTCTGTTTTCTTAGATGTTTCAATCAAATTCAACATATGCGAGCTTTACTGTTCTTAGATAACTGCAGGCCGTAAGGCAAATGCCTACAAGGATATTAAATCTTTCTAGGCATCATTTTTTTAGGATTTTTTAAATTTACTTATGACAAATTTAAAGCAAGGTATTAAAAAACAGGACATAAACAGTGCCCAGTTTGGAATTGACTTATTATTCTGTTTATATATTAAAAAGTAAAGTTAATGTATACTTACTCAAAAATATAAGTCCACGTACACAATTAAATAGCAGAAAGTTGAATTTTTACATATGCACACCAACCTGAAAAAAAAGAAGAATAGTGCATTAGATAAATTCATACATATATACATTATTTATTTAACATATAAGGTGGAAGTGGATTTTAAAAAAGCTTATTGCGTAGGTTTCGAATATAGAAATGAAAAATAATTAACAGGATGTGGACCTAACAAAATGGGAATAGATGGTTTAATGTAAATCTGCTAGTTTAAAGACTCTTGCTTTATTATATTTAACCTTAAGGCAAGTAATTTATGATATCACGTCTAATGATGTTATATTGCAATTTTTTTCGAATTTCTATTTATCTTCCACGTACCTGAAGTCCAACTTCGGGTCATACCTGAAATCCACACTGATTAAGAGACTTACAAACGCTAAGCGGCTGCGTAGAGAAAAGGTTAATTGCATTGTAAGCGGCTTGATGAAAAAATGTGGAGTTCACCACGCGGCGACAGACAACGTTGGCGCTGACTCAACTTAATTGGCGCACGAGGCGCATACTTAATGCGCTTAGATGCGGGCCAGGCTCATCGCATCGCCTCATTGGCATTACAGAAGCCGCTTTTGTGCTTCTAATTAGATCCAACGGATACCATTGAGTGCTGCAGTTTGTTCGTTACGCTCAGCCTGACTGCCAGCATCGAAAATTGAGCCCTTCAATAGACGAATTTCATTTAATGCGTTTGTTAAGTAAAATTAGGTGTGAAAATAAGTGGAGTTTATTGTCGGTTTGTATGCGTGTGCAATGACTATGAAATGATTTTAATTGAAATTGCAATGCTGAAATGGAAATGGATATCTATCTGGCAATTTATTCTAGGAGAACTTCAATTCACTGAACTGATTAGCTCGAAATAGGACTTGCTTTAAGTTCCGCTTTTGCAAAATTGGTTCCCCTTTTCTTTTTTTTTTAAATTCTATTTAATGCCAATCTTTATGCATATATTAAGGGATGAATTGATGAACGATGTGACAGCAATTTCCCATGGGTAAATGCAAATCGCAAACTGTCTGGCATTCTAGAAATAAATGAACTAATTAAATATTCTGATTGTGCGACAAGCTACATATTTGATTATTGCAAATTTAATGCATACATCGCCCAGGCCTTAGCTAGGGTCAAATTAGGGCAAGCTCTTTGGCACTGATTCGATGTCACAAGTAAATCAACAAAAACATGCGACAACAGCAACCATCAGAGCAAAAGCAACATCAGCAGCAACAACAACAACAGTGATGATGATAAACACGCGATGACAACAAAAAATAAATAAAACAAATATGCTTTGAGCGGGCGCATCCAACCATGAGATACCCTGTAGCGTAGCGATTGCTGTATTAATTATGTGAAAGAAAAAAGAAGTTGCCATGCATCCCAATCTTAGCTCTCTCAGAAACTTATTCTAATTATATCTACTTATTTATACTTATATATACTTAAATATTCCACTCAAAGGTGCTCACTTTTACTTGTTGTTAGCCAGCACACACTAACTTTATTCCACTCCGTTTAACTAATTTTATGGGTACAGGGTGTACTAAAATAAATGAACGACTGATTGTGTTGGCGGTTTAATACTTGTGCATGTGAAACATGAAAATGGCTTTGCATGTTATGTGTGCCGAGAGCAACAACAACAACAGCAACAACAACAACAACAACAACAAGAGCAGAAAGCACGTTACACTAATTACTCTAATTGTGCACGGGAGGTGTGGAAACACTTGGAGCAACGATGACGACAAAACTCCAATTTGGACTTTGACTTTTGTCTGCCAAAGTTTTTCTAACAATGTCCGAGATGGTCACGTGACAGCATCCGCTATATATAGACAATTCATATTATATAAAATATTCAACATTTCAGACCAAATACAGTTGAATAGCAATTAATTTTGAATAGTATTTCTCACTTTAATCAACTATTTATGTTTAACAGAGCTTGGTTTGTTTGACTCGAATGTGTTTGGTCAATATTAAATGGATGTGTGAAACGAGCCACTGCATCACGAACTAGCCAAATCACGTGCTCAGCTCTGTTCGTAAAACTTGTTGGGGGCTAGTGTTACCGTTAACGTCATCGGGTTAGAAGGGCCGCAGCACGTTGGCATCGCGTGCTCGACATGTGCCGACTGTTATTACGTATACGCTAGCGCGGCCAACTGTGTAGAAATAAAACATTAAATTACGTAGGTCGCCAGTTGGCCATTGTTCTTCTGTGTCTCCGACTCTGTGTGTGCGTGTATGTATGTGTGTGTCTGTGTGACTGACTGCGATTCCAACAGCGACTGGGGCAGGTGTGGCGCACACGTAGACCGCGCACGTAGCTGAAATTTTAAGCAATCAGCCAGGTAGAGCGGGTACAGACAGATAGTCAGACGACAGGAAGACAACCGGACAGACGTTGGGTTTTTGGTGGGTTGGACCGCCTGCGGTTTCGTTTTGAAGTGGCCTTTAATAGTTTGCTGTCTGCAACTGCAGCAGTGTGTGGCATATAGAATGCTGCATGCATGGGATGCCGCATGTTGAGTTGTGCGATTGTGGCGTGTGTTGGCTAGCCAAAGAGCACCAGTTTAATGAAATAGCAAAGAAAATTGTGGCTGTTGCCACGGCTACATAAATGGCATTGCTGCAACACGAACTAAAATTGTAATTATGCAGCAATCGCAATGACTGCCAACCGAGAGCCGCATTTCAAGCGGATTTATAATCGCCGCGCCGCGTATCCGCAAAGTCGAGTGCCCACTTTGTATAAATAATGGAATGTTTCAAACCTATTATATCATGCTCCAATACCAGCCATATTTATGACTCTAGCCAAATTTTTTGTACTCAAAATTTAGATGCACGGGCCACATACACAACGTTAATTTGTTATGCGTACTTATCTGTTGTAATACTAAAAAATTATATATTATAAAAGCATAAACAAAAATTGCATTCGTATTTGGCATTATGTTTTTTTTGTGGTGCAGAAAATTCATCAGCAATATTATTGAATTTTAGTTTTGTTTTTTTCGT